TATTTATATATATATATATATCGTCAAATAGAACTGCCCGGTAAACCGTAGGCAGAGAGAGAGAAGAGGACAACAAACGAGGGGCTGTGACAAACTGTTTCGTTGGAGTTTCACCGACTCATCAGGAGGCTGAATATATATATATATATATATCGTCAAATAGAACTGCCCGGTAAACCGTATATATATATAAATATCGTCACAAACAGAACTGCCCGGTAAACCGTAGGCAGAGAGAGAGAAGAGGACAACAAACAAGGGGCTGTGACAAACTGTTTCGGCGGAGTTTCACCGACTCATTAAAGAGGAGGTTTCAGTCCAAGGACGGTCCAGAGAAGTGTGAAGACTTACAAATATCCTGCCTTATTCCTCCGAACATAACTCCCGATTATCATGACTGTACTTGGCCAGGATAGAGCCTTTATGCATTCATGATGGATGACAGGGTGTTATGCTCACGGGAATAAGGCGACTACTTGCTTGTTGGAGGTATTTTACTATTTTTCATTTCTATTTATTTTTTTTTTTGCAGCTATTTTCACAGTAGAAGGCATGCAGCATAGGCAGAGACCCACCTACCATCTTCCCTGGAACGTATGGTCCTTATGGCTGTATCTGGACTGGAAGTTGGCCCAAATACAGCTATAATCAACGTACGTTCTATTCAGGGGAAGACGGTCACTCACTGCTCCCTGTTCACTGTTTTCTACGACGACGGTAGGAGGAGCGACCATCATCCCCTGAATAGAACATACGTTGATTATAGCTGTATTTGGGGCAACTTCCAGTCCAGATACAGCCATAACGACCATACATTCCGGGGAAGATGGTAGGTGGCTGTCTGGGATATGTGGGCCTCTGCCTATGCTGCATGCCCAAATACAGCCTTAATAATCACAGCTGCGTATATTAATTGGACTGTGCCTTCGCCTCATCACTGCTTCCTTGGTGGCAAAGGAAACAGTGTGAACACTGCAATCGAGCTTCGGACACCCTTGCTATTGTCTTCCGCCAAACACGGCGCACCCTCATTATGAGTGAATTGGACTGGAAAAAGGTAGTTTGTATACCTTTGATAATCAGGGTGCATTAGCATTCGGCGGAAGACTGTGAGTCAATTCCTATTGTCTTGGTGGCACTGACACACGTCACTTTGCCGTCCTTTGTCGCCACTGCATTGCACTGCTGTCTTCCGCCCGAATAGAACACATGTCCCCCGAATAGAACACAGGGCCACCAAATAGAACACAGGGCCCACCAATAGAACACAGGTCCCCCGAATAGAACACACACGGTGATTATCGATGTATCTAGGCTGAAAGTAGCCGCAAGTACAGATATACTACTTACCATGCGTTCTATTCAAGGGATGACGGTAGACTGTTTGATGGATATCAGTGAGTGTTGTCCTCTCATTTTGTTATTAAGATCTCTGTGCTCTTGAAGGACTGGTTTTTCGCTCTACGTAGGTCCTCACTCCACTAGTCAACACTCTACATCTATTTGGACTTACATTGGACCAGGTACATTCGGGCGGATCGAATGTCTTCAACGTATTGAGACCATTATTACCAGCTCTAGATGCATTGAGAGAGTTGTGCAGTGGAGCAAGACCCATTGTCGCATATCTAAATGAGAGCCAGCAGGTGCGGCTCCCCACCAATAGATTGGAGCACCAGGCGGCAGGGTGCCAGTGCAGGGCACTCGTATCACCCCACTAGCTACCAAAGACCAAGGTTTTCGAAAGAAACAAAAAAAAAAAAAAAAGAGGAAGCGCAGTTTGTGAAACAAGCAAAGAAGATAGCTGTTACATGCTGAGCCTGCACACGGGGCCCATTTCGGGGTCCAGACGGTTGCTGGGGGCCCCCAGGCCGCACGCCCTTCGGGCATGCGCCCTGGAGGCCCACGGCCGGCCTTAGGGCCGCAGGATTCGATTTGAGGCAGCATTTATTTATTTATTCATTTATTTATTTATTTATTTATTTGCTGTCCTATTTTTGTCTGTTCAGGCGTCGTTTCAGACTTGCAATTCGTCCGAACAGACAACAGACTTTTGGTCTGCTCGGACAAGGCCACGTTTTTGGCCTGGTACGGACGTACGCAGGCCCTGTTGGGCCAGGTCCACTTTTGTCCGATAGTGGATACTCCCTGCTGCATCAGCAGGGAGGGCTGTGACGAACTATTTTCTGCAATCGCACGACTTTCTGCGCGAAGCGGCTTCGGGGGTTAGAAACTGGTCGGTCGGGTGGAAGATAGGGGTTGGCCGGACAAATTGCATGGATACCCTCGCCTCTTTCCTTTTTTTGCTTTCAGGACCAGGGCCGGGAAAGTCCCGCGACGACGATTGGGTGACCGTGCCTTAGTGAGCGCGATAAATAACAGTTGCCATAGCTTCTTTCTTGTTCTGTTGTGGGAGATGGGAATTTTGGCACGATTAGTGCGCGGGAGTGTCGTTTTCAAATTTACAACGGATGACGGGCTCTTGAAATTGTTTTTCCAAGCTTTTCGGAATTTCTTTTTGCAAAATAGGATTTAGACAAGGAATTTAGGTGCTTTGAAAATCTTGTTGCCCCGCGCTTCTTGCTCACGCACCTTTCACCGCAGCAGGAACT